TGAACTGCTAGAAATTTCTGAACCAGATTTCCATTTGTGCTTCCTCTGCTTAGAGAGTAATGTGCTTATTCGGTGGAGAATGTTTGAGTTGACAGTGGATAATCATGACAGTATCGCCTTAGCTTTGCTTTCTACTACAAAATTCAAGATATGTGATTACATCAAGTTGAGACAGCCAAACATACTGTCATTCACTTGTATTAACATCATTAATCAACACAGCAAGTCTTACCCAACACAAATGGTTAGCATTGGAAGCAGCAGTACAAACTTTAGGAATTCACCAAAACTGCTTTTCCCTGCTCAGGACTGTAAGGCCGTTTCTGTCAGGGATAAGTACTGCTCATCAAATCATGATGCGCATAAAACTCCATATCCAGGCTGGGCATTGTGGAATGTACTCAAGAGGCATGCATTAGGAGTGCTGCTTTGAGTTTTAGCTACTTGGCTTCAGGTCTGGTTTCTTGCTAATGCATCCTGGGAGAGCATCAGATGAAGGCTTAAGGGATTGGACCCCCGCCCAGGGGATAGTCATATGGTTTTGCAGGCTCCTGGTTTAACCCTGGTGCAGGCCCAGCTGTTAAAAGGCATTTCAAAACTAAAGCATAAAGGAGGGTAAATATCCACTTCTGTCTCTGAATCTCTGTCTCTTTCTCTCCCTGCCTTTCAGATACACGAAAATAAATAGACATTAAAAGTGTTTCATATACATATATCTATCTCAAGAACTGAAGGCATTAATTACATGAAAGACTCAAAGTCTATGTATTATATCAAAGCTGAACTACTGTGAAAAAAAAGTCTAAATTTGAAAGTAATGTCAGCATATTTTCACACACGGCAAATTCAGGCCAAGTTAAACAGTGCTTATTGCTTATGCTATATGTGAATTTCAATCTTTGTGCTACAATAAATATCTTTTAATTCCATTTTCCCATGAGGTTTTTGAAATACCCTCCTATATGGGTACACACACAATATATCATACAATCTTCACAACTAGTCAAGCACATAAGTGTTGCTATTATCCATCTTTTCAGGCAAGATACAGAAAGCTTTAACTTGCTCAAGGTTCTATACCTAGAAAAAAATGAGCTGAAATGAGAACCTAAGCAGCCTGGTTCCAGAGTCTAGGCTCATAACAAGATCACTATTTTGCCTTTAGCTGGTTTCTTCCAGAGCAAAGAATTTATGCTAGTGTCAGTCCAGAGACACACGGACTCCAGAAGTAATTTGTTCCAATTTTGACTAAACTCAACATTCCATTTTCCCAATTTCAAATTTACTGTCACATTAAATGCTAAGGCCAATATATCAACCTATGTGTAAAAGGATAGGAAAGTCCACCGTGGAAGTCTCATATTTGTCAATGACTTTTTTGGTAAGGAATGCTTCATGCCTCTGCCCATGAAGGGACCTCTTCCGAGGTGGGGAATGACTATTGCTCAGCATGAACAGTGGCATCTGTGGGATTTAGGAGCTAGGCACTTTCTTCAAGGGAAGATGAATTTTTGGCAAATAAGTTCAGACATAAATAAGTCCAATCTCTCTTCACAAGAACATTCTCTTATCAGTATCAGCCTTGGGATTATTTGGGTCTGGTCTGGGATTACCTAAGGGTGCTCTGTATATTTGTTCCCATGGTAAGTACAGGAACAGACCTCTTATCCTTTGAGTTTCTCTCCAGGAATTATAATCATGACTATTAAAAGGGCTACAGGACAAGAAATATACTTCTCTAAACTATGGTTAGATCTGATTGGAAAGGTAGGAACATTGTCTGTCTTCAAAAGTACTATGGTGATGATGAGAGATTATGATTATTAAAATCCATATCAGCAGAAGAAAATTGACGGGAGGTGATTCTGACTTGCTAAAACATTCAATTATCATGTCTCTTTCCCTTGTACATACTATCTGTCTGACTATCTCAAAGTAAGTAGCCTACTAACCTTCCTGCTCTTTTCAGGTCTGTGTTGTGCTTGGCTACCCCAGAAAATCCTATTTCCAAGAATCCTATTAAAATTCTTGGGCTTTAGGATACATGTTGGAAAACAAGCATCCTTTCAATATTTCTAAGGCTGCAGTGGGTAGGAGAAACACACATAATAGTAGTAGGGTCATGGGGAAAAGTATTAGAAACTTGGGGAAAACCCCAGTTGTAGGCAGCTGCCTAGGTTGCTTTGTACCTATGCAAGCACTACACTGCTGGGAGAAAAGCAGCCAGTAGCTGGTGGGCATTCTGGGCTAGGGAATACTGGGCTGAGATACACTACCCTGGCCTCACAAGCAGGTGAGTGGGAGGGGCTGCAGACCGTACAGCAAATGGAGTCCAGGGACATACTAGAGTGGGAGTGGCCAAAAGCAAGCTTGATAGGGAAGGGCTGATTTTGGAGCCTTCCACAGACTAAGTCACTGCACTCACAGGTAGGCAAGGAATTGAGATGGAGTGGTTTAAGGAGGGTAAACTGAAGGGCCTGTCTGGGTCAGGCCAACACACCTTCCCACATGGGAGACCTGGGCTGGGCTAAACAGCATTGCCCACTGCCTGTTGGTGCACTCAAAACCTGGGGCTATGGAACACGCCTGCCTGGGCTAGGCTGCAGTACCCATCTGTGAGTGTTGGAGAAGGGATGGGCCATGACAAGCTAAGCCTCAGCACTCATCAGAATGCAAAAGAACTAGACCTTGGGGCAGATTCTGCTTGTGGGCTTGCCTCTGCCTCTGTGGGACTGCAGCACCCACTGGTTTGAGCAGAAAGCTGGGGGTGGCGATGTGCTGAGCCAAACTGGATCATGGAACTCACCTAATAAGAACCCAACCGACACCCATGGGAGCTGGGGCTAGGAGGAGGTAGGGAGAGGCCAGGTTGCAGTTCTCACTGGAACATGCAAAGGTTGGGACTGAAGGCAGACCATGCTAAGCAGGGCCATTGCACCAGTCAGCACATGTGAGATCTGGCGCTAGGAGTAGGCCTAGTAGGGGAACTTGGGGAAATTCTCTACTAGGATCCAGCTCCCTCTGGGGAGCACAGGAGCTGGCCAGGGCCGCAGCACTCTTCAGCATTCGTGGGTCTGGGGCCAATCTGGACTGGGCCAGGCCTTAGTACCACTGGCATGCACAAGAACCAGGCCAGGGTTTGGATCACTCCTGGCTGGGCTGGAGTGACTGTGGGTGCGCCATACAAGGTTGAATCAAAGCACCTACTAGCACACGCTGACCTTGGGCTGGAAACAGACCTGGTAGGTGAACTCTGGCTTCTTCTCAGCTGGGTTGCAGCTGCCACTAAGTGAGTTAAGAGCTGGGCCTGTGGGAAGACCAGGCTGGGCAAGGCTGTAGCCACAAGGGTATGGGATGGGATGGGCTAGGCTATAGCATCTGCCAGGTTACATGAGAACCGGGTCTGGGGGTGGGCCAGGTGGGGATTGTTGGGGTTTTTCCTGACTAGGCTGCAGTACCTCCTGGTGTGCATAAGGATTGGATCTGTGGTAGGATACAGCATATATAGGTTCACATGAGATATGGGACTGGGCAGAATTTGCCAGGCAACTGTATTCACTGGTATGTATACTGGTTGGGACAGGTGACAGACCAACCTGACCCTATATTGGCTGGTGCTCACAATAGTCAAGCTTGAGATCACCCCAGGCAAGGTTTCTTGAGGGATTCCCCAACTAAACTGCTGAACTCAGATGATGACCACAGGGAAAAACACACGATGTGTGCTCTGACCTTGAAATGCCTATATCAAGACTGGGCCTCCTCAATTGCTGATGCCTGTGCAGTGGACAGCATGTCCAGTGGCATACAGGACACATGACAGCCAGCTCACATAGGCTAGCAGAGTATGTTGGGTGCCTCATCAGAGGATAGAAAGCACAACAAGCTGGACATTTCTCCTGTCTAAGCTTTGCAATATGTTCCTGGGTCCGTGGAAGCACTAAGGTGGAATTTGTCAGCCAACGGACCTTGGAAAGATTTTTCTCAATCCTGTTTCAACAAAACCAATAATATCTCAGAATTATGAAAACCACTCAAGTAACACCATTGGGAGATTCTTCCCCATACCGGGATCTCTAAGGTGTCATCAAATGACCGTATCCGACCCTCAGGTGCTGATGTAGTTTGACATCAGGCTCTTTCTTCCTCATCTTTTGTGGACACAGAGGAGAGAAAGAAAATTTCTTCCACCCACCATCCTCCATACCTGACCTTCCCCACACAATTGGAGGCCTGCATGGATGTACATCCCTCTCACATATGTAAACGGCATTAAAAAGAATTTAAAAAATTCAAACAAGAAAGTACAGGGAAGATTTACAGTTTGGAAAAGAACATTCAAAATTACTACCTACGAAGGGAAGGGCCATGAACCATAATGTAGTATGAAACTTACCATAACATTAAATAAATGCATGAAATTCTTACCTTCATCAAAAGCAGAGCATCATTTCTACAAATCTGCTTTAGGGTGCAGAGGAAGCTAAGAACAAAGGTTTCATGTATAAAGCTACCCAGAATATAGAAAAGGAATGTTAAAGGAAGTAACCCATATCTTCAGTTGACATCAACAGAACAAGAGGGACAGGCTAAGATGTCTGCATCCTACAAGGATGATGCCTGCTTCCATGCAGTGGTGATGATCCAAGTAATGGGTGCCTGCCACCCATGTGGAAAACTCAGACTGAGTTCTCAGCTCCTGTCATTGAGGGCATCTGGGGAGAGAACTCATAGATGACAGCTCTAGCTGTCTCTCAAAAATCACTCTTAAAAGCTAGGGGAAATTCTTGAGTATGGAGTAATTCAGTCTCAATTTTTACTCAGTGCAATCAACATGCTATAATTAAGAGACATTCCATCAGTGGTCTTTGGCACGGAGCTGCTTGGCATCTTCCTGATCAGTCAGGCACTACTATGCCTATAGGCTTGAGGATTTTAAAGACCCCCAACACCCGTGTGTGTTTTCCAGGCCAAATGACACTGGCTGACATTTCACTTACATGAGCTTTTGAAGTCTTTCTTTTTGAGTCTCCTCCTCATCATGGTTCCACGTGGGCTGGTGGAGTAGAGGCTTCGAGGTAAGGTTCCCATGTTCAGGGAACTCAGGCTGTATGCACTCATGGAGGTAGGAGAGAAGGATGAGGACACCAAAGCTGCTGCAAGAGAGCGGAGACTTGGCACAGAGCATTCTTAGGTGAGCCCGCCGTATTCGCCAAACAGCAACAATCCAGAAAGATCACATCACACGATGCACAGCAGTGTCTGGTGGGTACCCTAGCAGACGGACACCAGCCTGGAGCTGGAGCCAGAGCTTGGCATCTTAGTGCTATGGGATCCCACCAATGCCAAGGAGCGGCAGGATCCTCTGAAGCACTTACGAACACAGAGACTCTAAATTTTGCTTTAGATGAAAAACAGACATTAATACAATTTTCTCCATAAGCAGCAATTCAATGCATCAGATACCTCATCTCATCTTCATAGAAGCTTCCTGGCATAAATGTCACTAAGATATTCCACAAACACAAAAGGAGCTGAGAACATCACAGTGTGTAATGCTCTGAACTGTCATTTTCTGTATATACAAGTCATTCAGAACATTTACATCCTTTCCTAATGACAAATATAAAGAGCTAGGACATATCAAAAATGATACATTGCTACTCAACAGGCACACAACACCCACGAAGTCAGTGATGGAATGAATGAGAGGAGAGAGCAGCGAGAAAACGAAAATTAAATGAAAGCCATGAGAGAGAAAGCCTGGAACATTACGAGGGCTGTTTGGAGGAGGCGCTCTTGGGGATGTCGGGGCTGGAGCTCTGCAATGGTCAGGGTGGCACGGGCTACACTGGTGGCTGCTATGAAGACCGCAGTGGCTGCTGGCCCAGGAATCCCAGGGAAGTTGCCTGTCGCTCCTCTGAATTTTCACTGCCCATATGAAGTGATGATGAGGAAGAAGAAAAACAAAGAACCAAAAAAAAAAAAACAAGAGAAAAAAGTAACTGAATTGCACAAATAAAACATGTAACAAAAATGAAAACTGATTGCAAAGAAAAAAAATGTACTTGGCTTTGCCCTCTTCCAGTGGTCAGCACAACAGATGATTAACATCAAAGATGGGAACTTCTCATCTTCCCAGGAATAATGCATGTCTTTTCACTGCCCATTTTTTCTTCTTTTAAGGTGATTACTGAATCAATTTCTAATCTCCCCCGTGCTTTGAGATTAAAAATATTTTAAAAAAACCCCTAAAAGTCAGTTCCATAAAGATGTATGGTGCATGATTAGTAATTAAAGATTTGCAAATTTTAACCAGTTAGTGGCATTTGTGTAGAGAGAAAGAAAAGAAGGAAGAATAAATCATATTGGTTCATGATTTGAGTGTGTACTAGTCACACATCACAATTTACTGCTCTGACATTTTAATTACATGATGGTCCATCACTTGGATTTGGTTTTCCTCCACAATAAACCACTCTAATAGTCTTTCAGTACCAAAATCTAATCTGTATCTTGACTAATAAAATGATAAACATCTTATTTTGTTTTGTGGTTCCTTTTCATTTGTGAGAAAATAATTGGAAAGAAATGTTAAGTTTTTAAAATAAATTGCCTATTTCTATATTTCCTTAAGATGCCATAAAATTTTAATAACATTTATTTCAGAAAGTCTCCATATTCCCTTATTTTAAAATATTTTATTTTCATTCTCATTTCAATGTTAAGATTTGACTTTTTAGCTGGTGTTCCGAACCATAAGCAATGCAATGGTTGTTAGATGGTCTTATAGGAAGCTTTTCATGTAATAATCTTAAATAGCTACAGATAACATGAAGTTCCATCTTCTGATTGTAATGTTAGATGTCCAGCATGTCAATTATGTAGCAGCAAATACTTGTGTAGCGAAGCTGGAGACTGTTTTTAAAGGACGGTCATTTAGATAAGATCTTGAGTTACACCATCCATGGTGTCAACTTCACTGGCCATTTCCTATCTTTTCAGGAGGGAGCCAGTACATAGAACAAAAGTATTAAGCATGGATGGATGGAAGGATCACTGTGGAGTTCCACTCTGGGTGACTATGGCCAACTACTCAGCTTATATCCACTGGAGATCATGAAAATAGCTACACCACAGGACTCTGAGAAATAGGTACATAGAGCATTCAGTGAGGTGCTGATACATAGAATCAAAATAAGACCTGTGAGTAATGGCATTGGTTCTGTCAATTTTTCTAACTACCTATCAACAATATAACATTATTTAAAGTATATACATGGGTCTCTCTAAACAAATTCTCTTCCCTGTGATCTCTGGACTAACATCCCAAAGTCACTGTAATTGTGTAGCCACAAGCCAGCTTTCTCCTTTTATCACATTGCTATTTCTGGTTTGGGGGTCCCTATCTCTTTTCCTAGTTGAAAGTCTCTGCCTCCTTCCCCTAGCCCACTGCAAAGCCTGAGCAACCTGCTATGTGTTTGCCTTCTAATATCCTCACAACACAGTGAGGATGGGTCTTTGACACGTGTATGTTAGATCCAGTCACAACTACCTAAATGACCTACCATTACAAAGAAAGTGAAAGGTGGCCCTATTATCCATGACTTCATCTCTGTCACTCTCACCATCATTGAAAAATTTTATCCACACTGGTCTTACGCTTGTTTCTAGAACAAGCCAGGCTGCTTCCTGTCTCAGGGCCCTGGTAGTTGCAATCCTTATTGCGGCTGTATGGGTGACACCTTCTCATCACTCACTCTCAGCTCAGGTGCTACCTGATCAGCGAAGCTGTTGTTAATATATCAGCTTGAAGCAGCTGCTTGCTCTCATGTGTTACACCCTGGTTGTTTCATATTTCTTATAACATTTATTCCTCACTGAAATGACCTTATCAATGTCATGTATTTGAAGTAGTCATATCTCTATACTAGAATTTAAATCGTATAAGAGTAAGAATCTTCACCAGCTGTATTCAAGCACCTAGAACGGTACCTAATACACAATGATTGACAAATGAATGCATGAATAGGAATATCAACCTGAATATCCTGAATTTACTGAAGCAGCATTTTCTTTGAGATAGAAGAGTGCCATAAGGAAGTTCCTAATAGTTTCTCTTTTACCATCCTTGTTCTGCTTTGGGGTGAACATGTTTTAGCAAGAGGCAGTTATTGCTGGGCCTGAGTAATCTACAAGCACTCTGTTGTGCCATTGTTAGACTCTCTATTTTCAAATGAAGCCAGGGTTAAGTGAATGCTTAACAGCATTCTAAATCTACCTTTTGACCCAATTCTTTCTTATAGTGCTTTGAAAATACTGGGTAGGTGTTAGAACTGTCAAACCCAATTAACAAAACAATAAAGAAGACATTATTCATAACCTATTGTGTGCTCAGTACTGTGCCAACCATTGCCAGCAGGTTAAGTGTAGCTCATAACTTTTAGTTTGAACTAAGAGTCAAATCTTTGTACTTATGAAATAATTAAGGGGTAGAAATATGCAAAACTGTATGGCATGGGAAATGGATGCCAAAGGTGTTCAAAAATAATGCAGGTCAGAGAAAACAGTCAATGCCTATTTTGAACATACTTTCCTAGTCTATTGTTTGATTGAGTGATGCAGTACAGACTCACACAAAAGACAAACACTTCAGGAGTTCAACAAGAATATGCTCCATTTTCGGCATGCACTTTCATTTTGCAAAGAACATTCACAATCTTTCATTTGATAAAGCCAAATATGGCTTTTGTGCTGAGTACTTACTCTACACAAGGCACCATGCTAAGTGTGGGTTACCTCAGATAGGGTTCACCATCTCCCTATCAGGAAAGTATTATCACAACCCTCACTTTACAGATGAAGAATCGGAGATATGGAAAAGCCATGTCACTTGCTCAATATTCCAAGTAGTAGACTCAGAATTAGGGGGCTACATATCTGACTGGACAATGCCTGCTTTCAGCCACCACACTACCCTGCCTGCTCCCATGGGTGTCCCCAAGTCCCTGATCACAGGGAATCTTAAAGTAGGATGCTTTCCACGTCATTCCATCCATGGTGGCATTCATGCTGAAGACTTAAGTGGTATATGAGACACCACCTCTTGCTTTCCACTCGACTTACATCTTCTTGCAACAGCTGCTCGGGCAGCAGCTGCTCTCGGGGTGGTCCTTAGAGCTCATGAAATGAAAGGTCCTCTTGGCATGAAACTTGTCAAACCTGGTGCCTCCTGTCCACTTCCCCACTTCCCCCCAAAGTCTCAGTTTCCTACAATCATAATTCTGCATGAGAAAGATCCTCATTGTAGGGGTAATTTCTGAAAGGTCATTTTGGCTGGTTTCCTCAGGGCTGCTATGTCCCAACAAAAGGCAACTAATCTCTTCTTCTAAGTAGATATTTCCCTTTCTACAATGTTCCGCCAAATCCTTTACTTAACCAGTAAATCCTTTACGGTCAATGAAATTTCGAAATGTTACCTTCATCTACCTGTGGGATGAAAAACACTGTTCAGGCATCTGAGATTGGGAAAACAAAAGACTAACAGACCTCCCTGGTGGAATACAAAAAGTATTGCAAATGGTAAAAAGCAAACAACAACAAAAAAAAACCTTTTTCTTCACTGTGACATAATTATGTATAGGAGACAATATTTACTTCCCCTTGGAAATACAAATTTGATTTTAATGTAAACTATGTGGAAATATCTGAATGTAGATAGGGAATATAATGAACATCTTTCAGCAAAAGCAGAAATCAAAGTCAAAAACAGAAATCAGAATGAGTTGAGCTTTGAGCCCACAAATACGATGTTTTCCATAGTGAAGAAAAAAATGTTCTCTTATTCCATACATTTTTATATATAGTAACTTCATCCTTTCAATTTGTTTTGAAAAGTGAAAATAATAATCAATGAGTTGGAAGCTATTCATAATTTGTGTCTATGACAAATAAAAGTAGAATAAATGGATTCACTGAAGATGGCAAATTTTCAAAAGGATTTGTTATACATCTCCAATTTACAGGAAGCAGAATTAAGCCAGCAAAATCCCACGCTGAAAGAGCGTGACACAGTGTGCACGCGCACGCCTAGTGCTCTCCAAATCTAATGCTGAGTTAGTTTGGATGAAACTTTTCAGAAATCCCTGCTTGGCGCTCAGTGTGTGGGAGATGTCTGCGGGGCCTCCTGATTGGCACCGTGTGCATCCCCACTAACTTACCTACCTGCCGTTACTTAGCATTGCTGTTCAAATGATGCTGATTAGCTTTTCATAACCTGCATATGCTGCATCATTTCTTTGCTCCAATGTGTAAAATTAAAATCTGATAAGGGTAATGTTGTACTAGTGATTTTCATTAGCTCCAGGGCTGTCTAAGCTCCTTTTAATTAAAAAGGTTGCATCCAGCTGACTCATTCAGTATGAAATTATCTCCTCTCTCTCCTCTCTCTTTTTCCTTTTCAGACTGCACAGAAGTGCAGTGCATTTTAGAAAGTGGAAAACTCCTATCAGTACAAATGACCTGTGCATAAGCAAATGGCCACTCCAGAGAAAACTACTCCCTTTCCAGAAATACTGAAAGGCAGTGTGTTGCTTTTGGCTGTCCTTCAACATCAGCAAGGCTTCTGGTTTCAAGGAATTAAAAAGAAAAGGAAAGAAAAGACAAGAAGAAAAAGAAAGAGGAGGGCATTTGGTTTAAGGAAGAGGCAGGAGCTGGAATTGGAACAGATCCACCCCTTCCCCCAGAGACTGACTCCATTTGATTTGAGATGCCGAGTACCTTTTTACTGCATTAGGTTTTGTTTAAAGTTGCCTGGGTGGGCAGCATGTAAAATACTCAGCAAATGTACCTGTGAACTTAAGTCAGGAAACATGCAAAGAAATGTTCAGATGATAGAAAAGTTATTCATTGTGCTAAGCGGGGGGGGGGAGGGGGGGAAACCTATTTGATCAGACCAGACAGTGCTTCTTACAATTTCCTCCCTCTTTTCCCAATAGTCGAAGGGTCTGTTATTTTCCAAAGCCAATGAAAGGTTTACTAACACTTTAATTGGGCTTCAAGTGATGGGCAGCTGGACTGTTCCATTATTTCTGAGCATGGTGAATAGAATTATAATGAACATTTTTAAAAAAGTACAATATGAACCCAAGGAAGTCAAATTACCTCCCTTTCCTCCACACTTAATTTGCACCAAAGCCAAAAATATAAAATAAATAAATAAATAAATAAATAAATAAATAAATGAGAGAGAGAGAGAGAGAGAGAGAGAGAGAGAGAAACCAGAGTGCTAGTTTGAAAATTCTATTTCCAACAGAGCTTTTTGCCTTAATTTGGAGGATTTGAATAAGTTATGCAGGACTGGGAAAGACATTTGGAAGATAAAGAGGCATGAACAAATGTTACCTATTATGAAAGGCAAAAATAAAAGCAACATCAAACCTATTATATCTGCCTGCTTTCTACCTCCCTGCGGGGGGGACCCAGGTAAGCCCAGGAGCTGTCTGGCAATGGATCCTCTCACCATGGTCAGGCCCCTTCAGCGCCAGGCGCGTTTGATGGTGCGGAAGAATCTCAAGCTTGACCTGGTCAGTGGTATTTGCCAGGAACTGGGTTGCTTCTGCCAGGGTGCAGTACTCCATGCTGGTGCCATCGATGGACAAGATGTGATCCCCCACGTGCAGTGCGCCACATCTACAGGAAGGAGACATACTCAGTCCAACCAAGTGCTCTCCTCTTTGGACTGTGAGCTTCATGTCCTTCAGAGTTGAATTTCACACAGTTTTCATTTGTTAAAAAAGAAGAAAAGTTTGAGTGTTATAGGAAATACCATCTGTCACATTTTAAATACCTTGGGTGTGAAAAGCACTTCAGAGCCTTGTAGAAAACAGAAAAAAAAAATCAACGAAATGTTTATCTCTTGTTCTTACTTGAAAAAATATTTTGGAGCACCGATGCTGGAAGTCGAGAAGACAAGAGGGGCAAGAGGGGAATGAAGAACAGGAAAAACCCCCATTGTCTTCTTTGTGTGTGTGTGTCTTTCTTTTTCCTTCTATGCTTTTCTACGGGCTGGTAATTACTCAGAATCTCAAGACGTGACTCTCAGAACTGGACAAGGGTCTATTTTATATATAATGAGCATAACCTGGGAGGGGGAGATCCAGTTGATTTCTCTTATGAGTCCTCTCATGCAGGCTCCCGTGTCACCAGTTACTGCTATATTACAGTCTGTCATTCTGGAGATGCATATTCATTAGTACAGAGGATCCTGATGACAATGGAAACTACACAGGAGTCAAATGAGTAATGAGCCCAAGCCTGCATGGGGAGTCATAAGGGCATCTGGGATTGGGAAGGGAGGGTCTGGTTGCTACATCTTGTTGAACCCCAGAGACTGGCCACTGGATGGATTGAGGTAAGCAAACACAGCAGTCAGCATCCCAACGTACCAGTCAAGCAGACAGCTCCTTAAACTGGTTACCCCCTGTGGAACAGGAAAAAACAGGGAGAAAATTAAAGCATCCTGCACCATTGAACTGGAGAACACCCCTGGATCAATGGCTGTCATAGTTAAGGGACTGCACTTAGGGCAAGAGACAGTGGAGCTGTAGACTGACCACTACTGCGGGTTGCTGCAGGTCTTAGAACGACAGTCTGGTTTTCTGGGCAGGCAAACTCCATGTAGAAAAGAAGGTTGGCACCACAGAGAGTGGACTGGCTGTTTGAGTCCATAAAAAGATCTCAAGCATACATGTACTGCTTATCAGGGCAAAGATGTCTTCAATCACCCCTTTCACTAGAAATGTATTTCCATGTTTATGTACTTAAAGTGGGACGTTTTCAACAGGAACTTCTTTCTGTGACAATGGAATAAACGATGCTTACAAGAATTGTAAATATCATGAATAACTGGATAGTAAAAGACCTTTCCTTAAAAATGTATGATTTTGAAAATATATAGTTTTATGTATTTAAGGAAGAAAGGAATAAAATTTTATCATAGCAGGGTTTAACTATTATAACTCAGGAAAACTCCTGATTTCTCAGCCTGGGGTTTAATAAAGGTCTGTGCAGGTATCCTACATCAAGAATAGGCTGTTACTCCAAGGACACAGTAAGAAAATTGCTCAGTTGTTTGACATTTGTTTTTTTTCTTTACTGCTAAAGGCAAACATCCAGATGAGACAACACTGCTTCACAGCAAGATTGATAAAGTCACAACAAAATCTTGTTTTCCTACCTGAAACCTATAAAAAAAAGGCAGAAGACTTGTTTATACTGTGCACGTGTCTATACATGTACATAAAATAAATGTGTGTTTACTGTTTTTTAAAAAACACGAAATTTTGGAAAGTAGGCACTTTCCATAAAACTCACCTGTCTGCAATACTTGCAGATTTGATTCTGTCTATGACAATGACCTGTTTGTTACAGCACATTGAGGTAGTTAGGGCAACCCCAAGGCTGGCACCAGGAGTTTTGGCAACTTCAACAAGCAGTGGCCCAGATGCTGTTGCCACAGAATCTACAAAAGAACAAATTTCAGAAAAACAAAAGATAAAAGATGAGCAAAGATGGAGAATGTTCAAAATCATGTTAATTTTATGATTGAAACCTAAATTTTCCTCTATAGAATATTCCCACAGTCACTCATAGTTTCTTAAGGCACTTATCAAGGCACCTGTACCCTCCAGCTTGTACTATAATGGTCGTATGTACACATGTTCATCTCTTTACTCAAACATCAGACTTCATATATAAATCAGATGATATTTATCTTTAACCCCTCAATACTGCTGGTCATAGTACCTGGCATTTCTTAGGTCTCTCAATAAGTGTTTTGAGATGAATTAATTCATTATTTTAGCACCTGTAAGGAAGGGAATGCAAGAAAGAAGCAAAGAAAGGTGGGTAGATGGATGGACAGACAGAAGGAAGGAATTACAGGTGAAATAAAGAATGGGGTCAGTACTGTGGGACAGAGCGTCTCAGTTGCTACACTTCCAATCCAGCTCCCGGCAAATGTACCAGTCAAAGGAGGAGATGGATTAAGTACTTTGGCTCCTGTGCTCACATGGGAGACCTGGATGAAGCTCTAGGCTACTGGTTTCTGCCTGGCCCAGTCTTGGGCAGTGAATCGGCAGATCGAAAAATCAATAAATCAATGAGTCAATCTCCCTCTCTCCTTTTCTCTACCTGTATATTTAAACTAAATGTATATGCGAAGATGTCTACTTATATATAATTTTACATAAGAAATAAAGAATAGAAGGTATGAAAGAATGGTGGAAAGAAGGCTGGATAGCCTAGACATTAAGTTATCTAATAGGATATGAAATCTAGGAAAATTACTCAAGAGTATAAAAAAATGGCAAAAGATCAATGGGTGTCTGACAATGCTTGCCCATATGGATACTAGAAAGAAATTATTATGACCAAGTAACTATGGCAAGTGCCAAGGGAATGGCAGGGACAGCGTGGCTTCTGGGGTCTGAGGAGCCTGTGTCTAATGCGCTGGCACGGTTGGGATAAACTTACTAGATGAGACAGAATTTTATCTGAGTGTTTCTCAGCTGACTTTATTTTCATGGGCCGTAGGAAAACAACAGAACTATTTTAGCAAGAACTGCTTTCCAGCATTACCCATGTGGCTGTTACTTTCTGCATCACAGAAAGGGATCTACAAATGTTAACATTTAATTGTTCATTAGTGTTTTCTGGCAATTGCTTTTCATAATAAATGCCTCCCCACAATAACATCAAGAAGCCTACACTGCACCTTGTGGTATTAAGTCTATTTCCCTTGCTGCCATCCAACTCCAGTCACAGAGGCTTTGCCAAAAGTAGGATTCCCAAAGCCTGGGCTTTAGTCCAAGATGTCTGATAAGATGCATAGGAAAAATAAAAGCAAGAAGACATTATGGATGAATGGGGCACTCTTATTTAAGAATGTGCAAGAGAAAAAATGAAGTGTGTCAAAATGAGCAAAATAAACAGAAGGAAAATCAGGAAGAAATAATCAAGAGCTCATCCCCAGACACATTAGTTTATCCTGCTGAAAGTGCAGCATGGTTGAGGAAAATGGATCATGTAGACATAAATTATTCATGGTTAAAGACATCTCAGTCATTAAGATATTTACACCGTGAGTGCAATCCGGGCACGCTGTGTTGATTTCTGGACTACATAATTACACACGATGTGCTGATGACTGTGTGCATGGGGAAACACTCTGGATTTTTTATTTTGTTAATCAGTTTCCCTCTTTGGAGCCTTGCATTTCAATCAGAAAGCAAGACTTGATCAGAGCTCCTGAGGGAAGCAAGAACTCTGTGCATGGTAATATTGGCTTTGCCTATCTTAGTTTCCTTAAGGAAAAAGAGTTCTTTTCAGATGTTTCCAACTTACCAATTAAATAGCATTTTTATTGATGACATCCTACTAATAACTGCAACCTTTTTCAATCCCTGAAGCCCACTCCATTTCTTAAAGTTTCCTTTAAACATCACTAATATGTTTTTGCTATTGTGAAATACTCAGATAAAGATACACCTTCCAGGCTTGAATTCAGCACTTAAATTTTGATTTTTTTTTGACAATTAAAGGAGGCTACATGACACTTACTGTATTGCAAGCAAATTCCAGAAGATAATATAGAGCCATGTCAGCTTCAGCCTGCATGCAGCATGATTAGTGAATGATTCTCCTTTGCAAGAGGCTCATCTGCTAACTTGTTTAACTGAGGAATAACTTGACACTTTCCACTCAGTTTTTTACTATTGATGTTACTGCTCTATTATTTTACAATATATTAAACTATAATAGAGCATGCTAAAATTTTTATTGAAGCAAAGAATGCAAAAATCTCAAGTGTATAGCTTGAGAAATTTTCATAAACTGAACACATCTGTGTAACCACAACTAGTCCTAGAAATAGAACATTGCCAGCATCAAAGAATCCTCCACTCCATATTCTTTTCTGATCACTTTCCCATTTTAAGGGTAACCATTATCCTAATTTATAGCAGCATAGGTTAGCTTTCTTAACCTTGTATTTTAACAGTATTGTTGGCACTCCTTTGGCCTTATTTATTCCATATTGTGCTTGTGAGTTGGCTGTGTATTGTTGGGAGTAGTTTAAAATTATTTTTCTTAATATTGGATAGTATTTGATGGAGTTAAAATGCTGTAACTTAACCATCCCACTGTTTAGACATTTTCTGGGTTTTGTCCTCTACATATATCCCTGCTTCAAGCACTCTAGGATGTCTCTTGATGGACTTGGGGTACATCTCTGTTGAAGTTACACCTAGAAGTGTAATTGATAGATTATAATGTGTTTCATGTTTTCTTCTGGAGACAGTGTCAAACTGGTTTCCAAAGAAGTTGCTTGCACTTGCCTTCTGTCACTGGGCAGTGAGAGTTGCACCTGTTCCACATGTGCCACCTCTTGCAGTGGTCCATTCTGACCATGTTTCAATTTCCATCTCCTTGATGCGTAAGCCAGTTGCACAATTTCTCATACACTTACTGATCTTTTGAATGTTCTCTTTGATAGATGTCTGTTCACGTTTTTCCTAATTTTTCTGCTAGGCTGTGTGGCTTACTTTGTGAGATTTTTTTTTTTAATTTCTGGTATGAGAAATAGCTGGCTTTAAGATTTGCAAATATATATATTCTTTTATGGCTTACCCTTTCAGACTCATAAAACTGTCTTTACATGAACACAACTTCTTAACTCTTCATTTGTTATGGTTGTGCTTTCTGTCCTGTTTATGAAAATTCTTGCTTACTGTGAAGTAATGCTGTTGTATACTTTTCTACAGACTTTATTATTTAATAATTAGTTTGGTAATGAGTCTGGAATGGATTTCTATTTTTCTGTGTTGTATGGGGCATGGTCATAGGCATCTAAAGCTGACTCATTATCATTTGTTTAAAAGATGTTTTTTGCTTATTGCATTTCAATGTCATAAACCAGATGATGCATACTCACCATCTGGGTACACTGTTTTGTTGGTCCTTCTTGTGCAGGAGCACACTGTCTAAAACACTTTAGCAGTTTAACAGATCCTATACTTGATAACCGTGTTCTCCAGGTTCTCAGTCGGTTTCTCAGATTAGCTTGACCTTTCCTGACTCCATATATAGTGGTATGTCACCATGTACATAATTCATGGAAGACTAGAGCAACATTACTGAGGGAAGTCAGGTGACTGCTGAGCAATAGTATGTGAAATAACCATATTCACGTATGATAGGTTCAAGCATTAAATTTGATAGAGTGATATTTTTATAGATGAACATGCTTTGTAAAATATCAATAAATCTTCCAAACTTAAATATCTAACAGCATACTGTTGTGCCATGTAGCCAAATCACATAAATTTTAAGTGTAGAAAGAAAAAAGAAAAAGAAAAGAAAAGAAAAAGAAAAAGAAAAAGAAAAGAAAAGAAAAAGTCAGGTCACAATATTTCTTGCATTTTCTGAGCTCAAGCATAAACCATACAGCTTATAGCCAAGTACCATAAGTTTTCACTTCCACTGTCACTGCTAGTTGGAAGATTCTTTCTAAAATTACATAATCTGTCTACAGGGAGAAACTTTCATAAGGAAAGTCAAAGTTCACATTATCTCTTGCTTTAAATTTTGGTGCAGTAGTTAAAACACAAAACACGATGTCTGTAAGCACATCAGAGTACTCAGGTTCAAGTCCTGGCTGCATTCTGGATTCCAGCTGCCTGACAGTGTGCACCCATGTGTGGGAGGCCTGGTTGAGATCTCAGGCCTTGGATTTGACCTGGCCCATCTCCAGCTGTTGCAGGCATTTGGGGAGGAATCAGCAATTGGAAGATCTCTACCTATACCTGCTTCTGTCTCTTTCTGTTACCATCTCTGTCTTTACATTTTTTTGGAAAAGATTTATTTATTTTTATTTGAAAGGCAAAGTTACAGAGGAGAGACAGAGAGACAGAGAGTTCTTCCATTTTCTAGTTCACTCTCCCAATGGCTACAATGGCTATAGCTGAGTCGATCCAAAACCAGGAGTCAAGAGCTTCTTCTGGGTCTCCCAAGTGGATGCTGGGGCACAAGGACTTGGGCCATCCTTTGCCTCTTTCCCAGGCCATAATCAGAAAGCCCGATCTGAACTGGAATGGCCTAGATAAGTACAGTGTCCATATAAGACATCAATGTTTGCAGGTGGAAGGTTAGCCTCTTGAGCCACTGCACTGGCCCCGAGAAAATGATTCTTAAAGTTTAAGTAATCAAACAAATCTGGCAAATAATAAATATCAATGAGAAAATAGAATTATGGCCACCAAGTGAAAAATCCCCGCCCTGCCTGTTAAAATGTTTTGCCCCATTACATAAAGCTTCCACACCATCATCATCTTCCTTATCATCACTCTCTGGAAAGGCTGATTTCTCTTCAGTCTAAGAATAGTAATGACTGGATCCTTCTGGGCTGGATAAGTGATCCCCACTGAACATGGAATGAATCTCCATCAGACTCTGCTGAGGTAG